CCTTGAGCCAGTGAGATTTGAACCGCCGAACTGCAGCTAACAGTCAGCTGAAGTGGCTGCAGTACTGCACTCTAACCACTGCACCACCTCAGCTCTATACAACTGAGCAGAGAACTGGTTGCTAATCGTTTTCAATCCCACCCCTGCCTGTATATTATGTGACTAGTCACAGCTATTTGTCCATCCTTTCACACCAAGTCCTGTCCAAGCAGTTCAGGCTTCCATCAATCAAGAAAAAAAAGCAGCCTTGAAATGTGCAGGGAATTATTCTGCATTTGTCTCCCTTGGATGGAGAAAAAGGAGCAAAAGCAAAGAAATGATCTATAGGAAACCTAGATGGAAGATGGCAGCCCTGAGGAGAGGAATATTCAGTGAGGACCCAGGGAAATTTTTCTTCTGTCAACAGGAGGAAGTCTTCCCTTCGTTCCCGCTCTTCCCTCAACTATTGGTCCAACATGAAGAGTGAACAGACTCCAGACTGTACCATTTAAACCTTTAACAGGGGATCGGATGCACTGGAGATAAAGAATAGTAATTCCCTTATAAACTCAGATCAGAAAAGTATTGTGGCTCATGACACGATCTTCCAGATCGAAACGCATCAGGTTTTGTACTGCTGGGAATCTGCAGCAGCTCTTCATTATTTACAAGCAGACTTTTCTCTCTCTTTCTCTCTTTTCTCTCTCTTCCCCTCCCTTCCCACTTCTATGGGCATACCCCTCCCCCAAATTGCCAGGGGGCTGGGAAACAACAGAGGCCAAAAGAAGGGGATGGGGAGCAGGAGAACTAATCAACAAACCAACTTTAAAAGTGGAAGGGACCCAGCAAGAAAAACAATGTAGTGAAATAAAGGGGTTTGAGAGATTAAAAAAACAGGGAATCTACGAAATTTGCTGCTGCTAAGGTGGGTGCAGTTCTCCTAGGAACATATCCAATTCAAAAGGTCAGTGCATTGATATAGGCTCTTTATTTGCTCCGGTTTTGTTGCTTTGATTTCAGAAAAGAACAGAGTGGCTAATGTTTCAGTAGGCTTAATCATCAGCAACTTAAATGCATCTGGAAGGAACTCATAGATCAAGGCCTGTTTTACAAGGCAGAGATGCACATCTGTGTCTCAAAATGTATTATATAGAAGAAATGAAAAGCAAACAAATTGCTCTTTAATAAACAGAACCTCTGACCTGTTTATTAAAGCGTGTTGCAAAACAGGGTCGCCACTGAACTGTCCTCCAACTACAAATGTAGGATAATGTAGGATATCCATTGACAATGGATAACATTCAAGAAGCTTACTCAATTCCTGTGTCTCCACTTATTTTCACGTGACTCCGTTTAGTTTCAACTTACTTCATCAGAAATGTACATATGACATAAAAATGTATATTAGATAATTCTGTAGGAACATAAATAACTAAAATTAATCTTTGAGCTGGGTTGGTTCGCTCTTTTTGGCTTGGAGAAAAGGGAAATCCTTGTCTAAAGGTTATTCAGTAGAAAAAGTTCTGGGAATAGTTAACTAAAATATTTGCATTGATTCATCCCATTGGGAAGTGCCTTTACAGTATCTGTAAGGCTTATTTTTTGTTTGGTCTACGTTATTTGCCAGTATTCTGACTTTTGGGGAGTCCATAATTTATGCAGCAACCATATTTCCTGTATTTTATTATTATCTGATGAGTCTCTAGAGAGTAATACAGATGATTGGTTTAACATCATCGTAGCAATGATAAGATTACTTATTCAATATATGCACATAAATTGCTGTTTTCAGTATTTGAATACACCTGATCAACACTTTTGCAGACAGTTCTGTATACACACACACACTTACCAGATAGAGACTCAAAATACCTTGCATGAATCACTGCAAACCTCAAAGTGCATTATGTAATAGTTTTGTCTCGAAGGACATTTTAGCTACATTGCTTACAAACATTTAGACTCAGTGACATGAAACTTTATCTAGAAAAAATCAAACATATACCATAGATTTTATAGTATGTTTTTTTAGAAGATGAACATGTCTGTTTTTCTCTGTAGCAAGAACTGCACTCAATGTTGGGGATCTGTAGAAAATTATTATTTCTTACATTTTATGGTAACTAGCTGAACTTGACAAATGAAAGGGATTAGTCTGGGTTCAGAAGAATCAGCCATATGCAAAGCATCCCGTTTCTTTTAATTTGCAAAAGGATTTAAAGAACGTGAGGAGACACTGGGTTTTTTGCTCTATTTATATCCATGGATGCATTGAAAGGACATTTTCAGTCTACATTTGAAATTATATTTATTTACTTAAGCATTTTTCAAATTTCTGAACCACTCATCTCCTTCAAAGATTTTAACTTTGAAAACCACCACTTTGACTGCATTGAGTGATTACCACAAACACACACATACACACACATATATATATATATATAAATTGTTGCTATGTTAGAAGGCATCAGAGTTACTTTTAAATAAAACAAAGATGCTCCCATTGAGATATACTAAGATAATGGCTATTTACAATTGGTAACTAAGTA